ACCATTAATTCTTGTTGTGGTTAAAATGGTGAAAAAAAGGAGAAAATCAACAAAACCAATTAATGATTCCATATTTCACCATCGAGAGAGAGGGGGAGAGAATGAACTAATGTTAAGAATACTATTCCTAACATTAGTTCTTTTATTCTTTCGAAAACCATTCTTCGCCATGGATGAGCAGGAGCTCGCAGATGACTTGGCTTTACAAGAGGTTGCCGCTAATCTTGCTTCTCTCGAATTTAAAATATTGCAGCATTTCAAAGAAAATAGCAATTTCTCTGCATAGAATGATGTTGCAACACCTAAGCACATCCTTAAATATTATTGTATTATTTATTTATTTTTTATAAAATTTTCTACGGAATTTGATTTTTGAAAGATTCACAAATATATATATTTTTTTGCATATATCTTTTAAAATGTTTTTGACAGAATTTATTTTTCATAAAAAAATTTTGACGAAATTTTTTTGACGAAATATATTTTTTATTGAAATTGACGTGATTAATTTTTGCATATGATTTTTAAAATGTTTTTAACATAATTTATTTTTCGTTAAAAATTTTTGACGAAAAATAGATTCCGTCAAAAACTTTGACGAAATATATTTTTTGTTGAAATTGACATGATTAATTTTGACGAAATATTTTTAATCGAAAATTTTCTTTGAAAATTGAGACTTTTTAAATAGTGATTGATGGCCATAAATTCCCACATCCAGGTGCTTTACCTTCGTTAGAAGTATCATCCATATAATGACATCATCCTCCAATGGAACATAGTGAACTTATGGATCCTATACCATTGATTAGTCATGCATGTTTTAGCAATGATGTTCATCATGCTATTTTATGATTTACTAGGGATCCAAGAGGATTTTCCATTCTTTCCCATTTGGATCTTGGGGACAAGGTCCCTGTCAAAGGGGGAGCTGATGATACGGATGGAAATCACAAAGAGCCACAAGAACACTAACATATGGTTGCATATTTAGAGCATTGTTGAGTAGTTGAAGGAGTTACAAGAAAACTAAGTTGAGGATTTAGTTAGTTAAACGATATGTAGTGATTGAAGTTAACCATTTTATAATAAGTTTTAGAAGTCAGTTATGAGAGATAGATCGCATGTGTAATAGTAGTCTATTAATAGCGTTCTTGTAAGTGAATTTTGGAAGGAAATAATCATTTTCTCTTCTTGAGTTTACGCTGTTTTCTTTCATTGTTTCTATCACTCTTAATATATGAAAACTATTTCTAACATTCCCAGGCCATATGCTAATCTATCGCTATTTGACTAATATTTGACCGACATTATTTTACTAATCTGCCCATTTACTTGAGTAAGTGTTGACAAAACATTGGTCAAATAAGGGATAAAGTGGTAATTTTCTTTTAAAAAATAAGGACAAAATGATCAATCCGCCCAACAACTTAATAAAATATTCCTTACTTACTCATTGTTCTGTGTCGTCTCATGATTTGTAATTAATTATTAAGATTTAATTTTAGCCTTTAGAATATTCTAACTACTATAAACATAAGATGTAAATGGGTCTGGGAGCTTCTCAGGGGATCTACAGTGTGATCTGACTTTAATTTGGATTAACTTGACTCATTTTAAAAATAATACAGGTTTGAATTTATTAAAAGATGTCTTTAGAAATAATAGATTATAAGCCTATTTTAAAAAGGCTAGTTCTCTAACCCTCCAGGCATGATCTGCATTTTTTAATAAATAATATTTTATTATTTTTAATAAAATAATATTTGGGTTGTGCGGCTTTAGCTATTATATTATTTTGATTTTCATCAACTTAAATATACAAAATAAACATAATAATTATAGCATATATTTTACAAAGTCAAATATGTCATTTTTGAAAACTTGATAAGGCAGGTCAAGCCTTGTAATTTTTTAAAAATGAGTCAGACCAAACTTATAATTTGTCTTATATTAAGTTAACAAACTAAGATAGTCTTGAAATATTTTACATAAACCTAGTTCATTTAGGCTAAAACTTGATCTGACCTGATTCATTTACACTCCTAAACATAACTCAATTATAATCTGCTTAAATAAATTCAATTTAAAATTTAAAATCTTGATTGGAAAATCTGTTGGTATCAAGCAATAAAACCCCGCCTATCCTATCTGTGGTTGTCTCGAGTAAAATCCTTCTGCATTTAAAGTTTGAAGACTTCCTTTGGCTTTAACTAAATATTTATCCATAATAACAAAAATTTCCCATTATCACGTGGTTCAAGGTCTAGTTGTAATTGCAATTATTCTATGTTTCCATTTAAAGTATTGATTTGGTTTAAGATAAAGGTTATATTTATAATTTTTTTTTACAACCTCTTACAACCATATCTTAACACCGTTGATTTCCGTCAATCAACGATTATAATTTTCACAAATTAATCTTATTAATTAATTATTAATTCACAACAAATGATAACCGTTGATTGACGGAAATTAACGGTGTTAAGATGTGATTGTAAGAGGTCGTAAAAAAATAGTTGTAAGTATAACCTTCCTCCTAGTTTAATAATAATAATAATACCAATCATGAAACGCAAATAAATGGTTTATTCACAACCATTCTAGCACGGCTAATGATATGCTAATGTTCACTGGTTCCACTCACCAATTTGCAAGAAGTGATTTTTGACAAAATGCTAAAGTGATCCCAAAACCTTCAATGGAGCCTTGATTAGACAATGATTGATGCCAAGCACCACATCGCCCCATATAAACAAGGAGAGCGAGTTCATGGACTGTCGAGTCTCTCTGCTTTGTATTGGAAAATATTCAAGCTTGAAAGGGCCATTGCCGGTGAGGTCCTCTTCTCCACGTGAGTGGAGGTATGACTTCGATGACTTTGGGTCCAAACGAAGTAGTTAGCAAGAGCATGGTGTAGGCGCTAAAGTCGTTCAAGCATCCCTTGGCTAGAGAACCATCGGCAGGTATAGCGATATCAACCACAATCTTGAAAGTGTATAAAAGGGCGAAGACTATTAATTTTCCCTAGGAAAACCATGTTAAAAGTTTGTAGTTTTATGTTGGCTTGATTTTAATTTTATCTCTACATGTAGAACATTTTTTTTTCAACTTATCATCTATGATTACTACTTTAAAAATAAGTGCGAGTGATAAAGTCTCGCATCGTGTAGAAATACGCTAAACAAGGAACATATATGTGAAAAGATAAATAAACCTAAAATCTTGAAGTTTTGTATTGAAATATGATATCAAGTCAATTTTTGAGATTAGTATTGCTTAGCCCATTGATGTGTTGCATGTAGAGTTGTTAAAAAGGATTATGACTCGTGGGTCAAATACAAAAACCTTATATTTGGCCCAAAGCCCACCTTGATATAAAGCTTTTTTTAGATTTAACCACCAAAGTCCTATGATTTAGCAGGTTGGTGGAGACTTATCCATGGACCAAAATTTCATTTATTATAATGCCCATTATTTAAAAAAATATATAAAATAGAAATAAAAATATATAAATTTTGATGTTTAAAAACAATTAATATACTTTATAAATATTTTCTATAGAATATATACAATAAATATATATTTTAATGATTCAATAAGAAAGTTTATGTATTTATTTTAGTTTTAGTTTTGGATTATTATAAATGAAAGACATTTCCTTATAATATGAATATTTATATATTTTTTCTATAGAATCTATACAATAAATATATATATTTTAATGACTAATAAGAAATTTTCTGTATTTACTTTAGTTGTAGTTTTGAACTATTTTAAATGAAAGATATTTTCTTCCCTATTTATAATTATTTTTATTCATTCTTATATGATGTTTGCGATAACATTAACCATAGAGTTATAATATATATAAATTCAATACTTAAAAATGCACTTATATCAAAGCTACCAATTAGATTTCAACAAAAAAAAAACCCTTGAGTGAGAGAGTTCATCATTTTAAGTTTGAAGATATTTCAAGATTTTGGTGATTCAAAGGTGTTTTGATCCATATGGGCTTGGGGAAAACATCTCCTTTCCATTCTAGGATGATCTATGGTAAGTAAATATAACTTAGAACATGTTTTATGATGAATTCATAATTTTGGGTTTTAATGTGAATAGTGCTCCAAAAATCAAAATTTTAGAAGAAATTTTGATGTGTTTGCTTGTTTAAATTATGTTTATGGTATAGAGTTGAGCAAAGTGACTGAATAGTGGAGGAGAATCCGTTTGAGAAGCCATTGGATTGAGAAACATAGTTTCTCTAAACTTAAAAAGAGAGTAAGTATTTATATTGAGTCTAGCCATGGGACTTAGCATTTATGTGTTGAATGTGTGGATGATGTGAATCCATGTTAATTGGGGAAGAATCTGTTTACAAACTTTTTTTATAAATTACACTAAGTCTGACCGGTCATACCCTCTTGATTAAAATATGACTTAGTATTGGGACTTAGCATTTATGTGTTGAATGTGTGGATGATGTGAATCCATTAGCTTGCTATGTGTTAATTGGGGAAGAATCCGTTTACAAACTTTTTTTATAAATTACACTAAGTCTGATCGGTCATACCCTCTTGATTAAAATATGACCAGTCAGACATAGTGTAATTTATAAGAATTTGTAAATAAAAAATTTGTAAATATAACCTTCCCCGTGTTAATTATGTTGAATTGGTGATAAATTTCACATTGGAATTAGGTGGTGTATAGCAAAGCTATTTTTGGTGATGATTTGGACATAAAACAAAGTTGAATAGATCTCATGTGTGGAGAAATCAATTGGTTCGGAAATTTCATGAGAGAAGCTTTCGAATCTTGGGATTTATCCCTTATTTATTCTACCAAAAGGAGGGCGGTTTTCTGTAGTATATGTAATAACATTAGATTTTGATATAATGCATTGTATGTATTTACTCTCTGTGCCACACAAAATGGACTTGGGGTACGCCCTCAGATACATATGTTGAAGGGGGAAAACAGGTGACTTACACGGTTCAAACAGTTTTGTAAATCTTGTAAATCAATACACAATTTGCTTTACAAAGCAAAGGAAAAAAAAACAAATCATACTGAATTATTCTCCCCGGTAAAAGAAAGGCATAATAAAAATAAAAAAATAAAAAAATAAAAAATATCATGAGTAAACTGTAAAGAATAGTATGGGAAAAAGGCCTACAAGGAATTTCTCCCCCTTCCTCCTCTGTTTTAATCTATAGGAAAAAAATGTCCACAACCTCCTCCATCTTTAATACTTTGGCAAATAGATTTTTCAATTTTCATTTTTGACAGTTTATCCTCACTGAATAATATATAATAGCTACTATGTATTCATAAAGGATAACTAATTTTTAGACATTTTTCAACATGAAAGGAGCTGATCAGTTAAAGATCCAATGGGTATAGAGTGGTTGAAATAGTGTGAAGGTAGTAGCTAAGTAGCAAAGATAAGAGGTAACTATTAAGATGTGATCCAAATTTGAAAGGAGTCAATTCTGAATTGAAAGTTAAGAGGTCTAATTGCCAAAGCCACAAAGTTGAAAGGGAGTTTTGTGGACCTTTTTCCTTACCTATGAAATGATACAGAATGTATGTATACACAGCACTACATCTTATGACCTTAATGCTTATATCTACCACTCCTAGAACAACCAGTGTTTCCGCCTTGGTTTATGCTGGATTGGTGCATCTAAAACAAAGACAAAATAATAAATCAATAATTAATAGACTCTTAACACCCCAAAAGTAATGGAAGGAACAGGTTTTGTGGTGAACAAACCTCGAATTTCATACAGTGAATTATAATGAACCTCAGACCAGAAGCTCAACCACAGTTCTGCATTATTAAGAAAATAAAGGGAAACAAAAGAGTAAGAGAATACTACTATAGTACTACTACAATTTAAATATTAAAGATCTGAGAACTAAAGTGTTACAGTTCATTGGCCAATAGAACTCTGAAAGTGCCTTTCCTTTTTACTCCCGTTAAAGTTTGTATCCAAGTCTGCAGTTACCTTCCTTTTTGTTCTTTTTAATTTTAGTTAAAAAGAATTATTATAGGCCTTGGACTAAAAGTGATATTTCAATTAGAATAGGCTTGATGCTTGATTTTAAAAGATAGAATCAACTTGAAATTATTAAATTAATTATAAGAGGTTTGTACTTTGATCTTACATTAGGGAAAAACACAACTTTGGGATCAATTATATACTACTCAACTTCAAAAATAATCTCTATCTGGGGAAGGCGAGAGGTAATGCCGTTTATAGAATTATGCAGTGCATAATCTTTCTTGAAATAACATAATAGAAAATTTCAAAACTTATGGGGCACGTTGTCTCTATTATGCTCTGCCTTGTTTACAATCAAACTCATAAGACTGAATTAAGTTATGGTGGGACAAACAATGGTGATGATGGTCTTACCACACTTTGGTGCTTGGTACAGCGGCATAATTTCGATGAAACAAGTATCTCTGAATGATGTCAGAAGGCATATCTTCGCTGCAAACTGCATTAAAAACAAGAAACATTATACAACATTGACATTTGACAGTAATAGACAACAAACATCATATAATAATAATAAAAAAAAAAATAAAATAACCTCAAGTTGTCAAGAGAATTTGATGTAAAAAAGTCAATAAATTTGAGAATGCAAGTTTCAACTTCTGAGAGAATAGAACCAATGCATGAACTGTAGTGACATAACAATTTTGATAAAATTTCATTGCATAACATCATTTCATTATTGCATCATTTTTCCATATATTATAAAAAATTGTAGCATAACCAAACTCAACTTTTTTGTTTTATGACTTATGTATTTAAAGAGGTTGCTAGGATATCTCCATTGACATACTTGACAAGGTAAGAAACAAGAACGACACTTGCATTTATGGTCTCCAACAACCAAAATTAATTGGGGTAAAAACAAAAGACTGGGAATGTTGTATGCTTCAATAACATACAACATCACTTTTCCTTAAACAAAAGTTCTAATTCGATTTCACTTACAGATTCTTGGGAGAAGCATATATACCCAAAACTTGCCCATGCACTCCAGTGAAGTATTTCAGTTTTCATACAACACATTCTACCCAGATTTTTGTTGAATCGGGGGAGCCAAACTACATCTTAACCCAAAATCTTAAGAAATTATTAGATATATGACTATATGGTTCTTATTTTATCCATTCCTTTCCAATGTGGGACTTCTTCACCCACATCTAACTTAAACTTGAATTCCCAACAATTTTTCCCTTGCTATCTTGTTAAGGGAGTCTCGACAAAAGCAATTTGACTTAGTCAAGATACCAACATTCCGGTTCCCCACAAATTTAGTTCACTTAGGTTTCATATTTAGCACGACCTGTCCTCAATCTATTTGTTAGTTTCCATAGAAATACATATATCGATGTATATACTCATTGCACTCCAAATGTGAGGCATGGATTACAATATAATAATCTTGAACCAGACATACATTACAGATACAGATGTTATGCATCAACTCTTTTAAGTCCAAGAACAGATAAACCATATCAAAATCTACTACATAAGGCCCTTCTAGAAAAGGGAATAGTTTAACGACAATTAACTACTATACTATTAACCGACTAAAGGCCCCAAAAATAAAAAAATTGTAGTCAACACATGCACACAAATAAATTAAAATCAAAAAGCAATATTGGACATAATACATATTACCTAATATTATTCAAATAACTCATTATTATGTTAATAATATATTTTGCTAGATGACCGAATGAAATAACCTGTCAGTTTGGCCAGTTCTTCTATCACTCTAACCCAATTGGACAAATATCCAAAGTCGAGAGGTATCAAACTAGTGATACAGGGCACAAATATTATTTAAATAGCACAAAGAAAAAAAAAATGCAACCAAGTTTTCCATGTCAACCACTATTACTTATATACTATACGTAAGATGAAATTCTGGTAGGGCAATCTCTAAAGTCATCCATATAGGCTTATACATCCGCTTCAGAATATTAGTGAGAGCTTGAGAAATATGTTCTTCCAGGATAGAATACAACCTCAAACACCTATCAGAAACTTGGCTAACTGAAATAATCTTTTTCTATTAGTAAGAATGTTACATTTTCATCTTAGTCTGAACAAAAAAATCTAAATATTCAAGAAAACAGAATAAAAGGAATAAAAAAAAATTTAAAAATTTGTAGCATACTACAAAAGTAACAAAATGTTTAAACACTGCATTACAAACCTTATCAGCAGCTGCCTGTAAGGTAATGTGGTCCCCCCATTCTCCAGATCTGTCACGTGGTAGAACGAAGGTGAATACAGTGCATTTGATTAAAATGCTACTTGTAGAACCCACAAATGTAATGGATTATTCCAAACATAATGATTTAAGTAATGGTTTATCTGAAAAATACGTACTTAGCCATTTTCTTGTGATATTGTTTGTACTTCATTGGTACATAGCATTCATATATGGAACGGTGATCTTTGAGCTGGCAAGGAGAAACATTATGCAAATAAGCATCTCAAACTATCTGTTTGCTATATTAGATAGAATTAATAGATTTCATATTGATCCACCTTTTAGTATAAAGGATTTGTACCACTCCCATTGCATGATTTAAAAACCGTTTTTTTATTAACTAAAACCAATAATTTACCAACATTTCTTTCATCTTTCCATTTTCTTCTCTTGGAGGACGTTTTTTACTCTCCATGTTTACTACTTAACTAATGCATTAATCCTTAATCAGTAACTATTAACTTGGACATTATAAAAGAACCAAAAGCCCCTTTGTACCTCCCCTTTCCCCTCTTCTCTTTTGAGTATGCACTCATTGATTCAAAACTCATTCATCTATATACATCAGCAAATTCAAATCTGTCAACCTATTAAAACACTCCTAACCAAAGAATATCAGATGTCCTCATAGGTTGACTTGTTTAAGAGGCATTATCCTTTCTACATGACCAACTCCAGTGCAACATACCTGTTTTACAATCTCTTTACGGACATGCTTGTGGTGTTCAGGAGACCTATACAGCTGATCTGAAAGTGCGCGGAACTGCAATGTAGAGAGAATCATCAGTGAAAATTCAAAAAGGATATTAGGATAACGCTCGTCCTCATAAACAGTTGCTATGATAACACACCTGACAGTTTCCATCTCCAGATACTTTAACTTCACATAGACCATAGACGTTCAACCTGAAAGAGTAAAGAGAGAATGGTTTAATACATCCAACAAAGACTAAATGCATATGTGCATAACATGTTACTTGCTGAGCTTATCCTCGTTATTTTACAAATGTAGGTGCCTTGGACATATCAAATATCAATACGTTGGACAATAATTGTACATGTCAAAAGCAACAGACAATGTTTGTGATGCGACTTGCATGAGGAGGGAAAAAATATTCCTTAGGAAATATACTTAGTCAGTTAGTTAGTTAGTAGGAGGAGGGTTGTATAAAAGGAGGTGTTGTCCTCTGTATGAGATAGACAGAATACTTTTCTAAAGATTGGCTGACAGTGCTCAGAGACAAGGGGAGTGCCCCTTGGCAAGAGAAGTGTCTCTTGAATGTTCTTCCACCTTTCTTCATCAATAAACAAATCTTTTCCTTTCATTTCTCATTCCTCTTTCATTTTTCCTTTCCATTTTGCAAGTATCAAGCTTTAGAAAATCCAGGGCTGTAACGGTTTGCTAACCTTGATGCTTCAGAATATGTATTCTCTACATTAAATAACCAGTAATTACTGTTACCAACAAAAAAAAAAAAACAGTATTTACTTCCACGCAAAGATCCTGAATACAGAAAAGTCACCAATTGATTCAGCCACATAATCTTTCTTTTTACCATTTTTCTTATGAAGCATTGCAAATTCCAACTTTTGTTTATTCCTTGAAGTTGAAAGAATGCCAGTATACTGTTCTCATCAAGAGTTTTTATGGCAGCTTTATTATATCTTATTTTCCTAACCATAACTATATGGCCTCCCATAAATGCCACCATATCTACAGTCAATCCGCACAACTCTCTCCTTGCCTATAAGGAACAACGTTTCTATCCCCAAGTCATTTTAATTTGAATTACCAAGTAGTAAATGCCGTTTCTACTTATTCTAAATTAAAAAAAAAAAAAAAAAAAAAAAATTACTTGACCTGGTATGGTTTTAATTATACATAATATAAGTGCATATTTCTGTCCATGTTCATTATTTTATTAGTCAAATTTCTTCCAAAAATGTATGGATGGAAACTTAAAGCTTTAGAATATTCCTCACAAGAAATAGCAGATATACCTCTGAAGCAGACGCTGGTGATCCATACTGGCATCACTTATTGTGGGGATGAAGGAATTTATCCGGGGCACATGCTGTAATTTGAAGATGTTGGAATTATAAGATATAAAGAAAAACACATGTATTCGAAATTTCAGATATCCCTCTTTTCACCCCCTTTCAGAAAAGGGGAAGTGAAATCACTAATGAAAGTATACTTTTTATATGCGATGACAATGCAGATGAAGCAACTTTGTAATACCATAAAAATCTAAACCAAATTAAGAGCCAAATTTCAAGAGTGTCCACAGGAAGTTAAAAGGAAGGAGGACATATCAAGAACTCTAGAGCTAGTATGCCCTTTCAAAGTATTAAATGTATTCCTTCTCCTTCACCATTTTTAAGTGACGAGATATATACATATTTAGTTAAATAAGTTTTATAATGAGATATTTGAAAAGCAGAAATCAAAACTGGTACCTATATTACAGGACCATAGCTGATAAAAAAGTCCACATTTTTTGCTATAGTTTGAAGAATAACAGAAAAACAAGAATTCTTACAGGAACAGGCGCCAAGTTGGAAAGGCGCCGACCGACTGCTCCATCTAAATTGGCATACTCTTCTGACAGCACAAGAGCAATCATTTTGTCATCCTCAACATCCTGTTGACTGCTAAGGGAAGTCGAACTGGAACTTTCACCCCAATGCTGAGTCTGAGTTCCATTCATCATATCCTGAGCCAGCAATTTCTTGATTCTTCAACCTAAAAAGCAAAATTTCACAACAATCCACAGCCACTGAACCTGCAACAATTGAAAAGACCTCTACGGTTATAAAATACTTTGCAATCTTGAATTTGCCTAACAAGTGACAAGCTTTTCTACATCTATAGTCCTGAAAAGTGTAATTAAAACACTCAACTAAGCAACACAAGGACAAGATGCACCAACGAGAGATGAAATCAGTCAATGTAAAAGCATAAAACAGGTAAATTAAAGAGAAACAAGACCAAAACCCTACAAAGAGTAATATCACACACTAACTCTTCCAATTCCATGTGCGTTAACATTGCTTGGAATGAATACTAGACAATTAGGACATGAAAAGACCAAATATGATAATCAGGAACAAAGTGAAATTTACAAATTCTTGTTAACACATGCTAAAACAATAATAATATAAATAGATTGATAGATATTGATCATAAATTGATGGAATTCCATTGATAAAAAGTTTTTTTTTTTTTAAACACATAATCAGATCGTAGATTTTGATCACAACCCACAAAAAGAAAAAAGAAAAAAAGAAAAGAAATGGTGGATAATCAGCAAAATCCAATCATAAGCAACGAAGATAACAATTTTAATTTTAATTAACATATAAAAAAAAAAAAGAATAAAAAAACCTGCGATATTGTTGCGATTGAATAATGAAGAGTTCTAGCGAAACAATGATGCAATGAATGGGTGCGTGTGACGAAGAAGGAGAGAAACAGTAACTGTGTCAGAATTAAATAATGAATAGAGAAATTTTCAATTTCGCGTTTTTTAGGTTTGGTGAATGAAAATGGGAGACACGTTATTAGTTATTACTTATAGACACACACTAACACAAAAAAACAAAAAACAAAAACAAAATCTACATAAAATATTTATATGGGTAGTACTTAGACATGTACTCCTATCCTATATAGCATTTGGTAATTAAATAAATATTATCTGATAAGGAATTTTTTATTTGTATAATATTAAGAAATTTTATTTCTTATCTCAGCCATTAATTTCTTTATTTAATAGTTATAATTTATTTAAAATTAATAATTAATTAATTAAACTTAATAAATTTAATAATTAAATTGAAGGAAATTAACAACTCATATAAAAAAGATATCTCCTGATATTATCTGTTTTCATTATAACATCATCTTCCTTTCTACCTCTTTCTTTATCAGTGTAATAATGAAAGCAACACCGACACGTATGGCTAAATTTAATAAAAACTAAGCTAATTAAATGTAATTAATTACTTAAAAAAGTTAAGCTAATAAAAATTAAAATAACGGACAAATTATTCAAGATTGATGCTGAAAATTACTCACACTAACGGACAAAGAAAGAGAAGCTCACTTATGTGTGGAGTCAAAAGTTTTGTCGTGATATTGCAGGAACAAATAAAGGCATAATTCTTTACCAAAAAATATATATATATTTCTATACTTAATATAGATAAATTTTCTGTATTTATTTTTAAAATAATATTATTTTAGTATTGAAATCTTAAAAATCTATAAACATAAAGATTGTTATAACCTTGAAATAAATTAAAATTATAAAAACATTATGATTTTTGACCTAAAACGACGTTGTATTTGACTTACTACAGATAAACAATAACTATAGAAAAAACTAATAAAAAAAAAAGCCATAATGTCCCGCTTCAAATAATTATAGAGAATTCATGTTTGTTTTTTTTATTTTTTAAAAAATGAAGTTTCGCTAGGGGATGGAAGAAAGGAGATGCAACCAAAAAACATTTGTAGAAATAAACGGTTGTTACTTACAATGTAGGTCTTGAATTCTTCTTACCATCTTTATATGGGACGAATAATTTTCTTCTTTTTTAATGTTGCTTTTTTCTTTTTTTTAAACATTAGGATCAAACCTGGGAAGATAATGAGCTATTTGGGTTATTTCTAAACATATTATTATTGGAATTAATGTTTATCATTTTAAAACATATAAAATTATGTCCTTTTACTCAAAATTATAGTGTTTTATGATAAGAAAAAGAGTTACATAATAGAAATTATAGTGGGAAAAAATAAAAGTTTTTATTTAATTTAACTATTAAATAAAAAATAATCATTTTAATTAAAATGCCTGTCACAAACATTTTTGCCATTATTATTATTATTTTTGTTAGGGTCTTTCCTATTTTTCAAATCTTATCTTCTTATCTGATTTTAAGATGAACAAAAGAATAAAGCTTCATTAATTAATAGTGATAATGATTAACTTTTCTTATTATAATAAAGACTAATAAAAAAATCAATGAAGTGAATGAAACAAGTGTCATGTTTCAGCATGAGAAAATAAGTATGAGAAATTAAATGAAAAAAATTAAAGAAAAGGTAGTTGATCACTTGATTGACTAAAATCGACACGTGTTATTATGATAAATCAAAACAAAAGTTATCTTAAATTAAAACAAGAATCAAGAAAAAAAATGTAAAAAAATACATCAATAAAAAAATATTAATCAAGTAATAAAAACATAACTAATCCAGGATAAAAGTAACAAAACTTAGAATATAATCAACAACTAAGAATGCCAGCAAAATAATCAAAATTGATTCAGATTGATTGCAGAATATGTATAGGATTGAGAATCAGTAACTAATAATGCTAGCTTGTTTCAGAATTATTCTTTTTTTTTATATTATCGTATTTTATTTTTAGATAGATAGTTTGAATTAATCAAGTAAATAAATATTCTTAAATTTATTTATACTTCAATTTAGATTATAAAAATTGAAAAAAATTCTTTAATTAAATAATGATGATATAAAGAAAAATTATAATCTAATCAAATATATAATATTTTATTTTAAATAATAAGGTTGATATGAGAAAATCTACAGTCTGTTTGAATATTTTTTTGTTTTTAAAAAAAAAAACTGTTATAAAAAAACATTTTTGAATATAAAATTTAAAAACTGATTTTGAGAATAGAATAACGATAAATTTTGTTTGAATATAATTAGATTTAAAGTTATAAAGAAATTATATTTTATTTATAAAAATTCTACTAATAAAGTTTCATAATTACAAGATTTTTACCATAAAATAATTTAAAATTAAAAAAAAATTAGATTTATTTATGAAAATGTCATTAATAAATCCTCATAATTACAAAGCTGTCACCGCAAAAATAAAAAACTTAAATATAACTTTTGAGATATTCTTTAAGTTTTTTTTTCATTTTAGTTATTATTATTTTTGGAGCAATTTTTACCAAAAAACTATTTTCAAATAATATTCTAAAAAAAAATTAAGAATAGAAATCAACATGGCCTGAGTCATTTATTTTTCAACTGGTTGATTGATTACTCGATTTTTTGGTTTGAGCATAATTAGACCCATATCAATTTACAAAGCTCTCTCAAAACCTCATTAGATAAATAAATAATTTTGTTACTTTCGATAATGTTTTTATTTTACCTCATTTTAAACACTTGTCTTTTCTTTTAAAGCATAAATTGAAAGCAAAATAAAAAATAATTTATAATTTAATTCGAAATATAAAAAATGATATTGATCTCATTAAAGAATTTTATCAGGACTTTTTGAATGCGAGAAAATATTTTTATCTGGATAGTTTACTATGCAGACAGTTGTGAAATGTAATCATCCCCATGAGTTAGTAAATAATATACATGAATTTTTAATTAATTTCTTACTTAGGTACCATACTCTCTGAGAGTTAAGCGTATGAGTAATATTTTTATTTTGTGATTGATGTTTTCAGCATTTTTTTTTTCATTTTATAATTTTAATAATACTTTTTTTTTTAAAAGATAAAAAAAAATACTTTAATTCGGAGTAAAGATGACACCGACAACGTTCATTGGAAAGTAACAACACCATGTTTGAGGAATAAATCTTTGCTACTATTGTTGTACTAAAGATTCAGTGCATCCCACCAATAAAAATATTACATGTCAGTTAATTTTATTTTTTTTCTGTCAAATTTTTTTTCTCTCCTCTTATGTGTAATACTTTCATTGATAAGATGCACTGAATCTAAGTACAATAATAATACTAAAGATTTATTCCATATCTGAAGTGCCGAGTCTGCGCCCAACCTCAACAGCTGTCAAGGTGGACCCCATTAAATATCCATGTTTGGATAGATATTGTTCCATTCTAGTTCCCCAATCAAATATCGCCAAAGTGATGATGTAGTACTGCTATGGGTGACACTTTAACTGCTGATTGCTGAATACTAACTCCACTACGAGAAGTTCGAGTCATATCAGTTTCTAATTATTTGTCACGGCAATAATTTACTATCCAGATCTTCAATTTAAGAGGATGGTTATACTTACAGGATATTTATACTACTAAATTTTTTTACTACCACTTCATTATCATTTTAATTATTATTGGATTAGAGGAAAAGTTAAATGAAGAGAGAGAAAAAAAAAACTTTTAAATCCAATAGTTATTAAAGTGGTATTGAAGTGGTGGTAAAAAAAATTGGTAGTATGAATATCCTACCTCATAGTTACAACCAAAATATTTGATAACCTTTTATAATTTTTTTTCTCATAGTTAGATGAGCTCTTCATCGATGGTTTACAATTTTTCTTCTCTCTCCTCAGTTCTACTATCTCCCACGATCGCTCTTCTTTGAGTCTCACCGGAAGAAGAAAAAAACTACTAATTGAAAGAGAAAGACAGTTCATTAATCATCCAATCAAAACCTAACAACGGAAGAGGTATCAGCATCCATTCTCACTTTTTTTCTTTTATATTTTATATTCTAAATCTCCAAAATTGAAGATAATTTAGATGTTTCCCCTTGTTTTCGTTGATCGCTGCAATGTTTGGAGATTTATATATTTTGATTTTGTTGCCAAATTTTGTACAGTTCAAGAGTGAACTTTTAGAGCATCAGCTTCTACCTAGAAGGTATCGTGCTTGGTTTTCTAAAAGTGGTGAACCCAGTGGGGATGATGTTGACGACAATGATGGCGTCTCTTTACCTTTAAATCACAACAATTTAATGGACAAGTATTTTTGGTTCATATATGCCTTCTGACTTGTTTTTGTACAAATATTAGCTGCTATTGTCAAGAATTTCTAATACCAAACATTGCATGTTCAGGTCTAAGTTATATTTTTGGGTTTACAAAAAATATTCGAAGGAAAGAATGGTGAGCTCTCTCTTGGGGGAAGACTTGCAGCAGGTGTTTTTGCTGGCATGACATCAACTTTTGTAAGTGATTCATTAGGAGGCCTAGCCTTGTATGGTTCTCAGTTGCTTTTATGATGTTACCGTGTTTCATTGTAGGGATTAAACATTGTGTTTAACACTTATGAGCAATTTCTTCGTTTTAAATTTCTTTTTTATATTTTTCTCATATATTAATCTTAATGGAGTAAATACCCTTTTTGGTCCTCAGCAAATTTCATGATGCCCGTTTTAGTCCCTAGCAAATAAAAAGGCCCATCGTGGTCCCTAAGAAATTTAAAATGGACCCATTTAGTTGAAATCGTGGTCCCTCACAAATTCATAAAAGACCCATATTAGTCCCTAAAATGACTAAAATGGGTCCATTTTGAATTTCTTAGGGACCACGATGGCCCTTTTTATTTGCTAGGGACTAAAGCGGGTATCGTGAAATTTGCTGAGGACCAAAAAGGGTATTTACTCATCTTAATGCATGTATCTAACTTTGTAATTAGAATATATCTTTGCATATACCTTACCCGTTGCATGTCTTGAGATTGCTGTTGCGTTTAGTATGCTCT